CAACGTCGAAAAGTATCCATGGGTGATTGAGAAGGGAAATACTCGGCACTTATGGGCACAAGCATATCTAACCGGTCATTTCTTTGCTAATATTCGCTCAACACAAAGGTGCGAGTCTATGAATGCTTCACTCGCAATTGCATTGAAACACAAGAAGACATATTTAGATATTGTTCGTGCAATTGAAGATGGAATTAGTAGAATGCGTCTGAACGAGTTGAAAGCGGATTACTTAAGTTCCCAGATGAAGCCCTTCCTGATCACAAAACTGGTTGAATTTGAAAGTCATGCTTCTGAGATTTATACACGCGAATCTTTTCATGCGTTCCAAGAAGAACTTCAACGGGAGACATTGTACCGGATTCAGGAAGAGATTGAGTCATTATCAGATGAATGTCAATATTTTTATTTGAAAAGGTACAAAGAAAAAAATAGGACATTTGAAATTAGTTTTGATTCTCGTACAGAAACCCTAAATTGCTCATGCAAAAAATTCGAGACAGTTGGACTTCCATGTCGCCGTCAACTTCACATTTTGAAGCACTTGGATTACACATATTTGCCCGGGTCTTTGATTCAAATTAGGTGGACTAAGGATACGAAGGCTTCTGCACCCAGTTTTGTTGATTTTAATGTGCCTCCAGAAATAATGCAAATGGCAAGGTTTGTTTCTCTACGTGCAACAACAAGTATGTTATGTTATAATGCATCAAAGACAGACGCGTCTTTCAAAACCGCAATAGATGAGATGAAAAGATTAACAGAAGAATTTGAGAACTCGTTTGGTTTGAATGATTCAGTCAATCGGAGCAGTGTATTAAACAACGTTCGCGACCCTCAACGAAAATAACATAAGCGAAAAGAAGTAACAAAGAACAAGGTCGAGAAGAAAATTAGGCGATGTGGGTTTTGCAACGGTGAGGGACATAACAAACTAATATGTCCTCAAGTCAAGCTGGGTTTGAATACAAGCACGCAACCTACTTCAACTGATTTTTTTGAAGACGAAATGGACTGGTCATTCAGTCCCGCACATGATGTTAGAGACATTTGGAATAATGCAGACAACGATCTCCATATATCCTAAGTATCAACATGACTCCTACTGTGTATAGGAAACATGTACAACAACCTATTGTTATTGTAAATTAACCACATCATTCAATCATGTTTGAACATTACAACTATATTCGTATAAAATTAAAAACAATTCTTCAACAACTGAATACAACTATTATATGTAATGTTCAATCATGTACTCCTTATGTTGTAGGGATTCAGTCCCTAAACCCTCAAAAAAAAGCTTGTCTTACCAATTCATAGCTTACCATTTGGACCCTAAAATGGTGTTTTATTGGCTATACAGTCAACATGATTATGAGCTTCCTTTATCATTTTGCATTCAGTCAGACTGTAGAGATTTGAAATTTGTAATGAATTAAAAGATCTTAAACACTTGAATTCAATTACCATTTCAAGAATAATTACATGAATACATTGATACTTACTGGTCGCTTTCGATTTTCTTCAATGTTGATACGCTGGGGCTCCATTTGAAGGTCATCACCGTCAGAGTGGAAGAGTTCTCTGCCTTTAGGGTTTTTCGTTTTGGGTTTTGTATATATAAGAAAAAAAACACGCGTAATTTTCAAAAGTATCGACACTAATTTAAAAAGTGTCGATACATTCTGTAGACCTATTTTCTCATAAAACCGGTAAATTTAAACCGGTTACATTGTAAAGTGACCTATTACATTATAATTACGAGTTTTGATGTTTTTAGGATCAACACTTTTTCTAAATGTATCGACACTTTTTCGTGAACTTGTTTGGAAAATTTATTATGGACATAAAGTGTCGACACAAATGTATAAAGTATCGATACATTATGCATACCTTTTTTTAAATAACCAATATATTTAGACCGGCTACATTGTTATGTTACCGATTACATTATAATTATGTGTTTCGATGTTTGTAGGATCGACACTTTTTATAAATGTATCGACACTTTGTTCGTGCACTTGGTTTGGAAATACATTCTAGACAACATGTATCGACACAAATGAATAAAGTGTCGACACATATTGTAGACCTATTCTCTCATAAAATCGGTAAATTTAAACCGGTTACATTGTAAAGTGACCTATTACATTATAGTTACGGGTTTCGATGTTTTTGGGATCGACACTTGATATAAATGTGTCGACACTTATTTGTGAACTTGTTTTGTTTGGAAAACACATTATGGACACAAAGTATCGGTACAAATTTATAAAGTGTCGATACTTTATGAATACCTCTTTTCTCATAAACCGATATATTTAGACCGATTACATTATTATTTTACCTATTACATTATAATTACGGATTTCGATGTTTTTGGGATCGATACTTTTTATAAATGTATCGACACTTTGTTCTTGCACTTGGTTTGGAAATACATTCTGGACAACATGTATCGACACAAATGAATAAAGTGTCGACACATATTGTAGACCTATTTTCTCATAAAACCGGTAAATTTAAACCGGTTACATTGTAAAGTGACCTATTACATTATAGTTACGGGTTTCGATATTTTTGGGATCGACACTTGATATAAATGTGTCGACACTTATTTGTGAACTTGTTTTGTTTGGAAAACACATTATTGACACTTTTGCCTTTGTTTTGTACCCCCAAGACGGCTGCAGCAGTCGATACCCCCAGAGGGAATGAATAATCGCCATATTTAGCAATACATTGTTTGACATCAAATTGCTCCATCAAGGATCGACACAATTCCCTCCGAATTGGTCGATCCTTTACTCCTATCAATGATCCAAACCTCATTTCACTCAGCACATTAAACTGATCATTCTTTTTAAGGTGTTCAATTAATGAATACACCCTTTTTATGCTGCACCTTGTCGACACATCCTACATTTTTTAACAATATATAATGTTATTGTTCTTATATATCTTGTATCAACGTATTTACAAGTTTAATGAATACCTTCTTTTCATGTGCTTTCCTCCGTTCTTTGTATTCTTTACTATCATTCCTTGACAGTGTGATGTAAGGTTCCTTTTGAGCATCACTCATCGAATTCCATTTCGACCTCACATCTTTTTTCACCTAATATTAATCATAAACGTTTCTTAATCAATACATTAACGCTAAATAATACTCAATGTCAATTTCATTTTACATACCGAACCGCTGTGTGTGACATCTTCCTTTATCCTTTTACATTCGTCCATACTGTCAACATTTAAAATTTGTAACCAATTTAAAGTTCATAAATACTTTAATCCAATTACCATTTCAACAATAATAACAAAAAGAAATTGATACTTACTAGAAGTACATATATACACCCTTTGGTTGCTTTCCACCCATTGACTTCATTTTTTCTTCATATATCAGTTTACGCAAATCAAATCAAATACTTGTATACAAAAATCGATAACCACTCTTGTGGTAAAACGGTTGGTCTTCAATAGAATTTTAATGGCCATTACAACAAGTGTCGGCACATTTATACAAACCTCAAATATCATTTTCTACCTATAATATTATATACAGGTATCCATATTTATTTTCTACCTATAATATTATATAATAATCGGTCTCAAAACCTCCCTATTTCATTCAAACGAATGGGAACACTCAATACTCAAAGTATCAGCACATTTATACAACCTATAATATTATTTTCTACCTATAATATTAAATAAAAGTATCGATATTTATCATCTACTTAGAAGATCACTTTCTACATGTAATTGGTCTCAAATGCTTATTTACTTCGAAAACCCCAAATAACAACACATAAAAACCCTAATTACTGTAATAATAAAAAACTAGGGTTTCAACAACGTACATTTCGATTTGAAATGCAGCAACAAACAAAACAAACTTCAACGTAGAAACGCCTTCTGAAATGCAGCAACAATTACGCTTCGATTTCAAAAACTCTATCTATTTTCAGATGAAATTTAGCTATGTCTTTATATTTACACCGGATATGTTATTTATATTTAATCTATACAATTACATAAGTGTCGATACTTTTATGTGAAGTGTCGATACTTTCGAAAGGATATTTACCTATTTCTCTTAAAGTGTCGATACTTGTTTACGCATACTTATTAAAATACCGACACTTTCAACATAACCGGTAGCGCTTTATCGGTTTTGTCATTTCGATACCGACTTTATCATATTTTTACCTATTATATTGTTATGGATCGATACATTTTCTTAAAGTATCGACACTTTTTAGGCGCTATAATTTCTTCTCTTTTAAATTACGAAAGTGTCGATACTTATATTAATTTATCGACACTTTCAATATATTCGGTATCTTTTTACCGGTTTTATCATTTCGAGACCTCTTTTGTCATATTATTACCAGATATATTACTATAGATCGATACATTTGTATAAACTATCGACACTTTTCAGGCGCTATAACTTCTTCTCTTTTAAATTACAAAAGTGTCGATACTTATATTAATTTATCGACACTTTCAATATATCCGGTAGCTTTTTACCGGTTTTATCATTTTGAGACATGTTTTGTCATATTATTATCTGTTTTATTGCTATGGATCGACAAATTTTTATAAAGTATTGATACCTTTTAGGCGCTATAACTTCTTCTCTTTTAAATTACAAAAGTGTCGATACTTATATTAATTTATCGACACTTTCAATATATCTGGTAGCGCTTTACCGGTTTTATCATAATGACACCGGTTTTATCATATTTTTACCTGTTATATTACTATCGATCGATATATTTTTAATTTGTATCGACACAAACCGACAAGCTAAGTTTGCCGGTTGCCAAATTTTTTAATATTTTCTTCATGATTTCCACCTACAACATTGTTATTACTTAATATTTCAGATAACGCTAAACCGAATTTATTAAATATATTATAATGTATCAAGTAACACTGTATATTAACTGTATATTAATCGTCTTTCCTTAGACAATCCCCTTCGGTCATTTTCTCCCACGACCGTCTTTCATCCATCACCTTCCCAAAAACCGCCACCCCCAAAGGCGGCTTCCGCCGCTCCGTGACTCACCCAAACCGCCATTCACCGTGCCCCCATAAACAAAATCAAGGACAAGAGAGAAACAGGGAGAGCTCTTCAAGCAACTGATTGAAAAATAAAATGGGGTGTGGGAATTTATTCTTCACGCTGATTATAACGGCGGTGACGGCTTCCGACTCGGTTTACAACACTTGGCAGTGTCGGGTCATGTATTACTGGTTCAAGAAGCATAAGAACGGACCCGGTTCAGAAATGGGTGGGTTCACTCGGATCTTGCATTCTGGTAAACCCGACAAGTACACGGATGAGATTCCCACTTTCATTGCTCAGCCTTTACCTGCTGGAATGGATCAGGTATTTCTTTTAAGGGTTTTAGTCTATAATCTGTTGACTTCATTCAATTTAGAAGATAACTTTCAGTTTGTGAAATGGGCGTCTAAGTTTGGAAATTGAGGTTAGTCTTCTTTGATTGGATTAATTGAACCAATGCAATTAGCTGTTTTCTTGATATCAAACTTTATACTCTGTATTATCAGCTTTACGATGGATCTTAAAAAATATTTTTCAGGGAACAATGAACCCGTGATCTACCTCGCCCTTGGCCTGCTCGACCACCTGTCCTACCACCTGACCAAGCAGTGGACCCGTGATCTCTATTATAATTCGAATAGAATCGTTTGGTGTAATCACCTGGGCCAGCCCCACGAGCAACGTGAGCCGTAGCCGTCACTATTTCTTCTTGAGCTGCAAAACCAGCAATTTGAGTTTCTGCATCTATTAACATAGTATAAACCTTATCTAAGGGCAGCATATCACCACTCGATGTAATAACAGCCATGAAAGGCTGATATTCCCGTGGTAGTCCTTTCAAAATACTAGCAATATGTCCTACAAGTGGAATCGGGCTTCCACACGAGGCCAATGCATCACAAATCTCTTTGACTTTAGCAATGTAAACTCGCATACTATCTTCCCCCTTCTTGAGAGATTGAAGTTTGCAGTGTAAACTCATCACCGAGGTTGAAGACCTTGTTGCAAAATATTGCAACACCGTAGCCCATATTGATGAGGCTATGTCAGCTCCCACAAACTGTGATAAGAGGTGTGGACTAATAGTAGACAGTAGCCACGACGCTAATGCACTGTCTTGGGCGACAAAGTCATCATACGCTTCATTTGGAATCAAGCTGCCATCTTCATCAACTGTCATTTCTGGTGGAGATTGCATTGCACCAGTGAGAAGGCGTTCAAGCCTATGACTACGCACCGTGAGCAAAACTTGTTGTTTCCACAACAAGAAATTCGTTTCATCAAGTACCACATTGATTTTCTTGTTAGTGAACATTGAACCATAACATCCAGAAGAGAAAAGAACAAGAAGCACATAAAAGATCTGTTAATCAATCAAGAATATCATACCAAACAGTTGAGCAGCTACCTTCCAAGCTTAACTCGCGCACTTTGAGTTTCGCAGCAAGAAATACATGGCTCCAAGAACTTATGGCGATTGATACCATGTGAGAATGTTAACTATGAGAACAATATGATGAACCAATATTCTATGTATTCATTGAGCTAAAGCATTCTATTTATACAAGTGTTTTCAGTCAGCTTATAACCGTGTAATTGCATGATAACTAACAATCATTCTATCAGCTTGCTAACTATATAACTGATTATAATGCCCATCAGCTAAGCAGCTTCATCATTTAACAGTAATAACAATTTTTTTGTACGAGGTGGACATAGATAAAATTTTACACCTTCAGTAAAATAAATAACTAGCATAAAGAAATTTTCGGATTCCAGATAGACAAGTCCCCACCTTGGGTTTTACGTACCACTGTTATGATTCTTATTCATGTGTATTTAACTTAGAATTATTATCTCACACATTGTCTAATGTAAAAAAGAAATTATGAACATTGTTGTACTTACCTTGTTTGTTTGTTTTATTTAGAGTTTAGAATTATAGATTTTGAATTTAGGGTTTGTTACTCTTATGGAAAGGAGAAAGTCCGTTTATCGAGATCTTTGGAGTTTTATATCCTCTAGATAGTTATAATATTTTGATTTGACTGTTATCTATCACATCAACAACAAACTCTGTTCTATAATTGCCAGGTCAAATTATTTTGTTAAACTACGAATAACAACCATGATTCCAGACATGATAGTACACTTACACACTAAGTCATTATATAGGTTTACTAATTTAACATGTAAGGGGATATTTGATCTTTCGAGAAATGCTCACGTGCGGCCGTCTTAATATACGGTTAAAAAAAGACGCTACCGGTTTTGTTATTATTGGGCGTTTTACCGGATTTGGTAAAAATGACCGAAACACTATTAGGCTCTACCGGTTTTATTATTGTTGAACATTTTTACCTGAAATGTTAAAAAAATTGATGTTTTAGGTAAAAATAATAATATTTTAGGTAATTTTTTACCGGTTTTATTATTTAAACAATAACAAAACCGGTAACGCCTTATTTTAGCCTTTTATTAAGGTGCTGCACTGTAGAACTTCCCTGATCTCTATGACCCCCTCTCTCTCATTTTTTTCTCCCTTAATCTGTTCTTCATTTCTTCTTAAAAATTAACGGTTACGGCTCTCCGCCCAAACTAAAAGGGATGAACCATGTATAACCGTCACAATTCAAATGTTACCATCAACGGGATTATTCAAATGTGTTAGATGACATTCGAATATACATGCTCATGGAGTCTAAATTGTAGACAACCTAGAATATCAACTTATTTATTTACTTTTATGTCAATGACAGGGTTATATAGTACTGAACAGACCCTGGGCATTTGTGCAGTGGCTTCAAAAGGCAGACATCAAAGAGGAGTATGACATCCCTGATTTCCATATTTTGTGTTGATTCAATTTCTGGCCATGTTTTGGTTGATTTTGTATGTCTCATCTTTCCTATGCATATACAGTTACGTACTGATGGCAGAGCCAGACCACATCATTGTGAAGCCTATACCAAATTTGTCGAAAGATGGGCTTGGCGCTGCGTTTCCTTTCTTCTACATAGAACCGAAGAAGTATGAGTCGGTTCTGAGAAAGTATTTTCCTGAGGAAAAGGGTCCAGTAACCAGTATTGACCCCATAGGAAATTCTCCTGTTATTGTTGGGAAGGTATGCATTTTTGGTGTTTGCTTCGTTATCTATTTCGGTTTCGCCTTCTCCTGAAGATCTTTCATTTCTTGTTTTAGGATTCTCTCAAAAAAATTGCTCCAACTTGGATGAATGTGTCATTGGCAATGAAGAAAGATCCTGAAACAGATAAAGCTTTTGGCTGGGTGCTTGAAATGTGAGTTTTGTCCAATTTGATCCATGCTTTTACAATGGTTCCTTGGGTTTTGACCTTGAGGGCTTCTGTTTACTTGTTTCATAACTGTAGGTATGCTTATGCTGTTTCCTCTGCATTGCATGGTGTGGGTAACATCCTATACAAAGATTTCATGATCCAGGTTCGATGAGATTGTCCGTTGTTTCCCGTAATTTCTTCTTTGTAGACATAATACATTGCAGCTGCACCCTCCTGATAACTGATAACTATAGCTAGGGGATGTATTATTTGTTTGTTTTTGGGTACGTTAGAGAGTCCGGGTTGATGGGGATGAGCTTTTAGTTTAGGACCCACCTCTGGTGTGCTTCTAGGAGCAAGCCAACTGATTAAGCATTATTATTTGTTAGCAACACAAATTAGACTTGTGCAAATTGTCTGTTATTTAATCATGATTTCGAGTAATTAGTCGATGACAACTTTATCGCCTTCTTTATTCTTGTTTATCATGTTTCTGAATTCGGATTAGTTCCTGAACTATCCCTACTAAGCCATTGCTTGTTTTGTACCACTGATCAGCCTCCTTGGGATACAGAGATCGGCAACAAGTTCATCATTCATTACACATATGGGTGTGATTATGATTTGAAGGTAACTTTAAAATGCTTCTTGGTTATGACCTTTCCAAATTATGTTCCAGCATATTTGTTTCAGTTGGAAGAAAATTAATAGAACTTGTCACCGTTTTACTAGTAGCTGCAAGTTTTCTTCCTGGTTTCAGGGTAGGTTAACCTACGGAAAGATTGGCGAATGGAGGTTTGATAAAAGATCGTTCGATACCGTACCACCACCGAGAGACCTTCCCCTGCCTCCACCTGGGGTTCCTGAAAGTGTGGTAAGTTTAACACTTATCCTTCAATGGCCAATGCAAAGTAATATTGCACAATTCTATGAGTTTTTTGCCCATGCAATACAATTTTGGTTCTTGGTAGCATGCTAGGTTAAAGTTTATAAGCAGTCCCTATACTAATAAGTAATAATCAAAAGGTGCAGCTCAGTCCCTATACTAATAGAACTGAATAATTTAGTACAATTACCTCCTTTGTGGGATGATGCATGTAACCAAATACAATGTAAATTGTGGCAGGTAACTCTGGTGAAAATGGTAAATGAAGCCACCTCAAGCATCCCAAATTGGGGTTCATAGAAGGCAAAAAAGGTCAGCCTGCAAATTGCAAGATATAGGCAAAATGCCTCCCTTAAGTTGTCAGCTTAGGCACTTGGGTCCATAGGAGAAAGAAAGGGGGTGTTTGGTTACATATTTATGTTTATTCTGGTAAAGCTAAGATTGGGATTAAGGTTTACCTGATGAGCATAGGGGTAAAACAAAGTTGTTTACCTGTGTCCGTGTGAACCCAAAATGCTTGTTAATTAACAGATGAACTTTATTCCCGTTTGGCGACGTTTGTAACATTTTGTATTTGGGAAGAACTGGCCTAATTTGTGATTTCATCTTTGATTTTGTGGAAATAAAAGTTAGGGTAAACTATGTATTTAGTACCTAAGCTATCACTTTTAATACGTTTTAGTACCTAAACTTTCAATTTTTTCAAAATCATACCTAAAATTTAGTTTTTGTTTCATTTTAGTACTCCACCGTTAAAAATTGTAGTTTTTGTTTCATTTAATTACCTCATTCAAAATTTAACTTTAACTTTTGAAAAAATTGAAATTTTAGGTATTAAAACGGATCAAAACTAATAGTTTAGGTACTAAACGCTTTAAGTTTTTAACGGCGTGCACTAAGATAAAATGAAAACTAAATTTTATATATGGTTTTGAAAAAATTGAAAGTTTAGATATTAAAATGGATAAAAACTAACAATTTAGGTATTAAATGTGTTTATCCATAAAGTTACAAGGCTAATGGAAAATGGCATTTGAAAAATAATAAGAATAGTATATTTCTCACTCTCAACATGGTTAGTATTTCATTTATAACCACATGTATTCGAACCATTAATCAATTAATTTAAATTGAATACCAAAAACTTATCGTGAAGATAGTTCTTCCTGTCTAATTTGTTCCATTCATGTTAGGATTTAAATCTTTAACTTTATTTAATGAATCTAGTATTTCATTCCATTGGATCAATTGATAAAAGAATGGTAAAGGAGCATATTGACGAACGTTAAACAAACATGTTCGCCAACATTTAAACGAGCACACTTTTGACGTTAAACGAACCAACATGAATACCTTAAAAAATAAACAAACGAACACGGACACAAATATTAAAAGTTTAAACGAATAAAAACATCTTAAAAAAACATAAACACAACTTTATTTATTCAAACTCGGTTCATTTAAACCCCTAGCAACATAGAAGAGAACAATAGGTGTGGAATTTTGAAAATAGAAAAAAATCTAAATTATTACTATCCTTAAATTTTTAATGATCGATAATCAAAATAAAAATAAAATATAATTTTTAAAAGATAAGAGTGCACTACGTATTTAGTATTTAAATTATCAATTTTGATCCGTTTTAGTTTCGAAACTTTTAATATTTTTTAAAATCATACATAACATTTAATTTTCATTTCATTTTAGTACACCACCATTAAAAACTTAACACGTTTAATACCTAAACTATCAATTTTTATCTGTTTCAGCACCTAAACTCTCATTTGTTTTTCAAAATTAACGTCATATTTTGAACGGGGTACTAAAATAAAACCATAATTGAAGTTTTTAACAACGGGTACTAAAATGAAACAAAAACTAAAAATTAGGTATATTTTTGAAAATATTGAAAGTTTAAATATTAAAATAGATTAAAATTGATAATTTAGGTACTAAACACACAATTTACCCTATTAATATGTATCTCCAAAGCCCTACCACGAACACCCAAATTCGGGAAAACCTAATTCTCAATCTTAAAATTTTCTCTCTTCAATTGGTTTTCATTTCTTCTTCCTTTTTAGGCATCCCAAGCTTCGCCGCTTCTTTTTTCATTCTAAGCTCTGTTAAACGTCACGAAAATGGAAAGTCCACTCACAAACGGTGTCGTGTTGGACAGTTCCGTGGGCTTTGCACTGGAAACTATGGTTATCGAAACTGCCATTGCTGCTACTAAGTCAGTCGCTTGGTTGGTGATGATGATGGTATAATTTTCCTCCTTTTGCCTTTTAATTTACCTTATTTGTTGAACTTGGAATTCTTTGTTTTGCCTTTTTGAGGTTATGGATTCTGCTGCTTTGCCTATTAGGTTGTCTACAATATTTTAATTCTCGTAGGGATTTAAATAGCGGCCGTTGTATATGCCTGTAATCATCGTAATAGTCCGCAGTTCCGACGCGTAACCGAAAACGAGACTTAAATCTTTGATTCTCATATAGCTGAGAAGGATGTTTAGGAAGAACTTGATTAGGATGTTCATATAGGCCGATAGGATGTTCCTTCACCTTAATTTTCGGTTTTGTTTTGTTGATTGTCCATGTTTTGGTGCAAATGCTTGTTTGTTTGTCAAATTGTCATTCATAATGATGGATAATTGTTGTTTTCATGAAGTTGTGTCGCTTGATGCGGCGGCGATATGTTTATTCGTTCTAAATTGCTTAGAAACTGCACTTGGAAGAATACTTGTTTTGATCCTAAGCATGAGTTTGGTGTTTCTCCAGATGGGAACTATGCCTAATGGAATCGATATCCTCATCAAAGAGCCTAAAGCATATGCAAGGTTAGTTGCATAAATTATTTTTGTCTAATTTCTTGTTCTTCTTTGGTGGAATGGGGGAAATTGTTCGATCTGCTTTTGCAGGTTTCCGCTTGCTCTTCTTCCGGTGAGAAAGCCTGGTCTGGAGAACAAGGATGCTGGTGACACTGAGGATGACGATGATGAGGAGGAAAATGAAGCAGCAGGTGATGAAGATGATGATGCTGGTGAGGAGGAAGATGGATTGGGAAAAGACGGTGAAGGTGAAGATGGAGGGGATGCAGAGGATGAACCGGTGGCCAACGGTGATGGAGCAAGTGGAGATGAGGATGACGACGACGACGACGATGATGGAGGTGAATATGAAGAAGAGGAAGAGGGGGAAGAAGATGAAGAAGAGGAGGAGCTTCAGCCACCGGCTAAAAGGCGAAAATGACCTTAGGATCACTTTCCCTTGTTTCCCGTTTCGTCTTGCCAAGGTTGCGGATTGGATTAGAGATTAGAAACTGTGACATTTTCGAAACCAGACATGTTTTATATTTCCTAACATACACTTATTGTATCATTATATATGTTCTAATTAACATGAAGTATTATTAGAGATTTTAGCGCTACAAGCTAAGAGCAATTCCGGTTCTAGCAGTCATCGACGACGGAACTCAAAGGAAACATAAAAAACGGAGGATCCCAAGCATAGAGGAAATTGACTGAACCGAATCCATTCAAAGCATTGCCTTGGATAACAAGGCAATCGTCACCTTGCTTCACGAAATGCTCGGATCCACAGTTCCGACAGATTGAAGTCCTTGCAAGTAAGCTTTGGATCATGTTGACTGCATTTGCAGTTGTTGGTTATTGTCACCTTCCATTCAGCCATACCCTGTATCTCTTTTCCGGTTCTGACTGTATCGACGACGATGTCGTTCAAGGATCAAAGCGAAAACCCTGAATTCAAGTATCGAGAATCAAAATTTTAAAGCAACATGTCCGAGAAATCTTTCTACTGTTAATGGATACTATTCATCCCTTTTGGTTTGAAGGGAGAGTCACGTACGATTGTTTAATGGAGGAAAAAAGAGATAATAAACGAATTGAAGAATATGATAAACAATCGAGAGAGTGTTTGTGATTGTCTCCTTTCCTAATCTCGTATAATAATTTATTTACAAACTCTTAGTATTAATGTCAGACCTAAGATGATAATGATTATTTGTGAGTTGACAGTGTAAATAGATATGATTATGACTAACAGATGTGTCCGTCAGTAGTTATGCCAAGAGATTGTAGTTGGTTGGAAGATAAAGACCTCCTAAGAACTCCAAAACCTCTGAGATAAACAGAGAAATGACGACGGAAAAGATTCGAAGAAGATATAACATGATCACAATAGCCTTATATTAGAGCATTATTTCAATATTTTCTTAACACAAACTCGGATCAATTTTAGGTTATAACAGTCGTCGACAGAACTAGAAGGGAACATGATAAAAGGAGGATCCCAAGCATAAGAAAAGCCGACTGAACCGAAACCAGTCAAAGCATTGCCTTGGTTCACAAGGCACTTGTCACCTCGCTGTTCAAAAATGCTCGGATCCACAGTTTCAACACTCTGGAATCCATGGCAAGTAATCCTGAGTTCATGTTGAGTGCACTTGCAGTTGTTGGTGATCGTCACTTTCCATTCCGGCTGACCTTTTATCTCTACTCCTTTCGGCACTTGCCGATCACGATGTCTTCCAAGGAGCAACAAAACCCTGCATGTCGATTTCCAAACCCCCCCCGGAATAATACTCGTTAACTCAATTGACTCGAAATATTTCTAATTTATATTGTTTATAAGAGAAAGAAGTTCACCTTGGCCGACAAGACCCAGAATAAGAATTGCAGCAATAGCATTATCACAGGAAGAAGCCATTGTTGTGATTGAGGTTTCTGATGTGAACCTGTGTCGATTTATACAACTTTAGGGCTAAATCATTTCGTTTACAATCGGACCAATAGGTCAATATCTGTCAAAGAAGGCGAGATTTTGTAATCTTCGATCTGTAAAGGGCAAGTGGAGCAGATTTTGCGCAATGAAAAGCAATTAATTTGAGATTTTGTGGCACTGTCTGAGGATTTTTTTTCCGATGAAAAAGGCTGTTAAGAGTACTAAAAATAGTTTCAATGTAGCTTTAAGATTTATTAATGTTCAAATACTTTAAAAGCCATTATTGTTTTCCTTTCGATTTATGGATCGACTAATCTAAATATCGTAAGACCCTTATTTTTATTTTGTTCTATAAACTCTATTTGTTTTATATAAACATATGTATCCGATTTATGAATCGACTAATCTAGATCAGGTACTGCAGAGGCAGGGTGACCCTCCCAACTCATTTTACTCCATTCGTAATAGCTGGGATTCGAACCCATTTTACAACGTACACAGGGCCCTGCAGACGCAGCTGTTCGAATCCAAGACCTTGAAAGAAAACAAAACTCCCTTTAACCACTTGATGGGTTATGAAATTACAAAATTACAATAAATTAAAAGTGGAAAACGTTAATTTATATTCGATGCTATAATGTCACTATTAAAATGCTTGTTAGTACTAAATAGGTTTTCAAATTAATACCCACAATGAGAACTTAATTCAATTATAATGTTGCTTTTTTCTAATTATAAAGAAGCCTAGACCATGGAATTAAGATGGCAATAAACTTGGCCATTGCTCGAACCGGCAAAAGAGAGCTACTATCGACTTTTAGATCTTTACACAAACTGTACAACTTGGACATTATCAGATTAAATCTACAAACACTCGAAACCATAGACCCGAATTTGCAAACCTTCGTATGAACCCCACAACTCGACTCGTAAAATACCGACGATTCACGCTTCTACAAAACCCGAACAACTAGCTACCATCAATCCCGTATGACCCCAATAATGCCAATACCAAAAGAAGGTGCAACAACATTAACATTGAGGCAACACCAGCCTTGTGGCAACCTCTGCCACATGATATCCTCAATGCCACTCGGCTAGGGTTCGAAATCTAACAAAATATCGAACCTAATTCAAGTTATAATGTTGCTTTTATTTCTTTGCTTTTCCAACATTTGAACCTTGTTGGGATTGTCCTGTCAAAATACTATCATCTAACCAACGTCTAGAAGAATGCCAGTAAAATGGGAACTTAATTTAATTAGCTTTACAAACACATTAACGACTAAGCATCAAATATAGACGGCAAAGGAACTTCTGGTGTAGTAAAACGAGGGATCGTAGAAAGACGGTGGGTTCTTGTTATAGTAAAAAGAGGCGTCATAGAGAGATGACCGAGAAAAAGGCTTACAATTACTCTTAGAGAACAAATCCAGTGGTAGATGGTGCAAGTGTATAGTCTTGTTCAATGGGAAAAAGCACTTATGTTAGGGAAAGGTTAAGAAACATACCTCTTAATGGTGTGTGTGAACATCCAAGCGACTCTCCAAGGCATTCCTATAATGGACTAAACCCAATAATAATGCCAACCTTCCCAAGTTAGCTCCATAGTCTTCACACAACTGTATATCGTGCTAGTTGCAGTTTGATTATTTAGCCGCAGAAACTACGTGTCAAAGAGGGATATATGCTAAAGAAAACTTCAAGCTAAGGAGTGATGTGTCAACATATGTTGCTAGAGGATTTAATAACCATGAAGGCAAAAGCGTTTGCCTACATTAAAGGTATCCATGGCCGAGCCGGACCGGACCAAGGCTCAACTTCAGGTTATATTATTCATGCCCCAAAACCTATATTGTTTCAACCAGATAAGGTTTCAGAATGGCATCATAAATCAACCAAATGGCGGATATCATCAACAAAACCCTATACATATACATTGCAATGCTTGATATCTACTAAAAGAATAGCCATCGGAAGCTCAGATAGCTCCATTTAGCAGGGGGGGAGACCATACCTCCAAAGATGAGACAGGGGAGTTGATGATAAACGAGAAGCTAAATCAGCCTCATAAATAAACGGGGAATTTCAAAGCTTATCTCCAAACACAATCATCAAGAAGTAAATATTTAGTTAAATAATTGTAAATATAAAAATAAGTACTTAGATTTCATTTAACAGTATTTTCAATTCTTAAGGCAAACAAAACCCATCATGTCCATAACAATAATATTTTCTAACTTATCTTTGTTTTTGTCATCAAAGCATCACAACAATGAATAGCTGTTATATCAATTTATCACAGGATAAGTTCTGCAACTAAAGTAAAAAACTACATAACCTTTGAGATGCTACCAAGAATTCAAAGTGCATCATCCTTTCTTTCCGCAAACCAAACAATCGATGTTAGGGTAGAAAACCAATACAGCTTGACATTTGAACCGCCCTTGATTTTGCTGAACATTAACTTCGAGTTCATGGCTCTTGCTCAAACACTCAATTCCGCCCACCTCCTGGTAACAAACTAGCCAAAGAGGGAACTCCTTGGTTTCTCATTTCTTCTTGTGCTCGCCTCATTTCTTCGGGATCTGTTGCAATAGATAAGAGGTTGACAAAATTAGCAAAAATGAAATTTCTAGCCTATACATCGAGAGGGGCAGGAGCATTTGAAAATAATAGAATGGATTGTTAAAAAATGAAATGTTTGGGAAAAATGAATTGCAGCTCAACTATTCTTCATATAAGCAGAAAATAGGCAATATAGGAGATTTTATCCCAATCAAGAAAACAAATGCAAGCAAGTACACAAGCAGCATATTCTCCATCAAAATCAACTCTTATAAATCTATTGCAAGTAGTAACATCAAGAAAGCTACCAAGTTATGAACTAGTAGCAGAGCACATTACCCATGTTTTCCACTAATTTGGGCATTAAGAAAACAACCACCAGCATAAATCCCATCATGAGACCCATTGGGCTTTTCACAATATTCATTATGGAGAAAGGTTCCCTAATCTGCAATAAAATAGGATAAACATGAAGCAAAGGATAGACACTAACTGCAAACAAAAAGAAATATAAACATATATAGAAAAAGGCTCCTTAACCTCGTAATATTGTTCCTCTCTCAATGGCTCTAAAACCAATTCACTGAGACCCCTCCGGTTCTCCGTTAATGCTGCCTGTACCTTGCCTGGGTTTCTAGCACTAACATCAACTCTAACCTAAGAAAGATCGAAAGACATTAATGTTAATGAAGAAAAAACAAAATAATTTGATGATTAAAATTCTCCAAGAGTCGGCCAAGAAATAAAGATCTTACAGGAGAAAAGAAATAGCCTATTGCAGCCACTTCAATCAAATGAGTCCCTGCTGGTATGTTCTGGCTTTAGGCACTTATATTAAGGAATTATAATAGTTCAGAGGAAAGATTTACTACCACCCATTTTACACAATGTCTCATTATTTAATAACAGAAATACAGTATTAAAAGGGCAAAGAAAAAAAAAGTAAAATATATGGATTTCCAATCAGACCTATGCATAAGAATTGCCAGCAACTTCTTGGCCTAAGTGGCAGAAGGTTTGTTAGGAGTGAAAACTTGGGTTCAAAAATCTAGCAACCTAGCCCCCAAATTTATAAGAA